GAGAGAGAGAGAGAGAGAGAGAGAGAGAGAGAGAGAGAGAGAGAGGTGGGGGGGGGGGGGGAGTCGCAGCCAAGAGAGAGGGTGGGGAGGGATAAGAAAGAAAGGCAGACAGACATTGACATCTAGGCAGGGAGACATAGAAAGTGATAAACAGAGAGAGTCAGAGGGAAAGAGAGAGAGAGAGAGAGAGAGAGAGAGAGAGAGAGAGAGAGAGAGAGAGAGAGAGAGAGAGAGAGAGAGAGAGAGAAAGGGGTGGGGGTATGAGGATCTAGGTGCTGTTATTCACCAGCGTATTATAATTTTCGTAATTTCTATAGTATATAGTAATCCTTCGCCTCAGAACATACGCAAACATAAACATAATGTAGCTGGCAAAATGTCCCCCGTGAAACTGCCTCGATTTACAGGGTGACTCATGTGGTTATTGCCGTTCTGAAGTACATGTAATATCCCAACTCATAATGGGTAAAAGCTAAGCATGACACCCGAATCCTGCTCTCCTCCCCTTTTTTTTACGTGGCCCAACAGTCCAGTGACCTCAGATGTTTCGCACTAGATCAAGGAGTTGATCGAAATGGGGGCTTAGCAAAGGAAGTTATACAGTAGGTCCTAGGGGCTAAACTTAACTTTTAATCTCGATGTTGGTCAATCACAGCTTGTTATTGCTGACAAGAAAAAATAAATACATGTATCACCACTGTTCTTGAATTTTTTTAAATTTTTTTTTTTGCATTTAAAGCGTCGATTAGCAATAGATCGAATAAAAGGGAAAGACGTCTTGCTCTGTTGTATTTGTTAATAAAAGGAAAGGCAACACCCGTATATCCCATACAATAACCGGTAGCCACCATTTGCAGTCGGAGTAATAATAATGCGGTCAGAGTGTGTTTGTGCATGTATCTGTGTGCGTCGTGCTTATGTCTGTCTCTGCGCATGTGTGTGTGTGTGTGTGTGTGTGTGTGTGTGTGTGTGTGTGTGTGTGTGTGCGTGTGTGTGTGTGTGTGTGTGTGAGTGTGTGTGTGTGTGTGTCGTGTTAGATACGGGTAACTTTTTATCTTTTTTTTAAGAGCACCGAATAGAGAAGTAAGCTTATGTCTGGGGGGTTTCAGATCTGGCATTGCGTGATTCTGTTGGTGAAACGATAATGTTCAAATTAAAACTTTATTTTCAACAGAATAAGGACAAAAGCCAAGGAGGTTAAAAGTTTTTAACTCCTTGACAAAAGCTTAACTGTGTGAAGTAGACGCACCGCCATGAAAAAACACAATGTGTGAGCAAGGTCATCTGAAACGTGCTGGGCACCCATCTCACCAAAGACGTTTTGTTTTTTTAAATCATCATATCCACATTGTGTGCATTATTTGAACTAGATCTACGCAATTCTTGCGACACTGTTTTTGTCTGCTGAAAAAGAGGGCAGGGAAAGAGAGGGGGATAAAGGAATCGAGAGAAAAAGAGGGGATGGAGAGAGAGAGAGAGGGGGAGAGAGAGACAGAGAGAGACAGACAGACAGACAGACAGACAGACAGACAGACAGACAGACAGACAGACAGACAGAGGGAGAGACAGAGAGACAGAGACAGAGACAAAGACAGACAGACAAAGAGAGAGAGAGAGGGAGAGAGGGTTAAGGTTAAGGTTAAGGTCAGGGTCAGGATCAGGATCAAGATAAGGAATAGGGTTACTATATGAGCCATATTCTCTCATTTCCTCTATAGACATCTTGCTCTGTTGTATTTGTTAATACTTGACAAGCTCAGAGTTTATATTTGAATTATTCATCTGGATGGGGAAAATGAAAAACATTGTGAAGGAATGGGGGGTGGAGGGAGGGATGGATGTGTGTGTGTGTGTGTGTGTGTGTGTGTGTGTGTGTGTGTGTGTGTGTGTGTGTGTGTGTGTGTGTGTGTGTGTGTGTGTGTGTGTGTGTATGTGTGTTTATGTGTTTGTGTTGGGGTGGGGGGTTGCGTGGTTGGAAGGCGGCATCTAGCAACCACAGTGCTCACGATCAGCTCACTGTCCTGTGGACATATTCACGCCTAACGAACTATGACAGGTCGGCAGACAGATACCGGAGTGTCCTCTCCCTTTTCTCAGTCCGGTCCCCACAAGGTAAAGGAATGATGGGAGAGAGTGAGAGAGAGAGAGAGAGAGAGAGAGAGAGAGAGAGAGAGAGAGAGAGAGAGAGAGAGAGAGAGAGAGAGAGAGAGAGAGTGAGTGAGGCACGGAGGAGACAGACAGACAGCTGGGCTACCTGACGACAGTCCCTCTCTATCCACCCTTGACCATCAATAATTTA